CCCAAGGGCCGACGCGCCTGGCGCGGGCGCTGCCCCCGCCTCGGCTCAGGGCGCCTCAACAGGAGGCAAAGGGCAGCACCACGGCCGCAGGGAACGCACAGCGCCCCCAGGCCGCACACGTCCAGCCACACGACGTGACCTCGGCCTCGCGCCAGCCGGAGGGGCCGCCCCAGGCGCCAGCGCTCACGACACCCGCAGAGGGGCTTGACCCAAGCAACCAGAAACCCCAAAGGGAAGCTGAGGGTGGGAGAGGGAGGAGAGCGCGGGAGGAAGCGTTGAGCGAGGGGGGGGCCGGGGGGGCCGTGCTGACAGCCCTGGGGGGGAGGGTGGCTGCGCCAGGCGCTGCTCCCCAGGGGGCTGGCCAGCTGAAAGCGCTTCAAACCCCGGAAGGTGGACGCCGAGGAATACGAGACAGGTCCTGGGGAGAGGCAGGCCCGCTCCCAGTCAACGGGAGGCGAGAGAAAATGACATGCAAAGAAGGAACGATGAGTCTGACCCGCGAAGACCAGCGGAGCGCTCTGGAGAGGCGCCCTCCGTCACCCCCGGCCCTGACAGCACCCACACTGCACAGTGCGGGGCCCAAATGTCACATCTGGGAGTACCACGGCGACAAGACACAGAGCAAGGTGAACTAGAGTCACCGGTGGCAACAGCTGATTCCTGAGCCAGCGTCTGAGAAGCCAGCGGGGGTGAGGCATGCCGCCCCTTGGGGGGAAGACCCTGGACTGAGAGTCCCCGAGGATAAGCACCTCAAGCCAGCTGCTCAGACACCTGGAGGACCGCACAGAAGAGGAGGAAGTGCGAGGAGACCAGCCAGTCTGAGGTGAGGCCACCTCCACGCTCGCTCCCCACAGACCACAATCAAGACGAGGCGCCTCTGCCGGCTAGGGTGGAGGCCGACCTGCACGGAGGGAGATGGCGCCTAGAGCTGCCGTCAGCCAAAGTCCGCTGGCAAGTCAGGCGACGTCCGAGAGGAACAAGACTCAAGAGAAAGCCAGACAACAGAAGAGTCAGATGGAGCTTTCTGAGCACGGAGACATGTCTGATAAACAACAGGCACAACCAGGGACCCGGCATGGGGCTGGGAACTGCCTTTAAAAATCGAGTGAACCGAAAGGTAAAATAACTGCAACTGAAAACCCAATACAGGGATCGAACAAGAGCGTGGGCGGGAAGAAGCGGCGCGAACACAGGCGCACGCTGCTGGGCCGGGCTGCGGCGGGCGGCTCACTCCCACGCTGTGGCGGCCCTGGCCAGCGCCCCACCTGCCGGCGGGAATGCGGGGAGCACCGTCTGCTCGGCTCCAGCCACCACCACGGCCGTGGGGTCCGCGTCTGCCCCCAGCCTGGTGCCAGCAGACCCTGCCCAGCGCCATCCGGCCTGTCTGAAAACCTCCCCTCCCCCAGGGGCCCCCACCTCCCGTGGAAGTGCCTCGGGCCCATCTCCTTAGGGCCAGCCCTGGGCCCCTGGGAAGAGTGCCCACGGAGTCCTGGCCACCGTGTGCGAGTCACTCGCTGCTTCCTGCTAGCAAGGTTGCCATCTGTTGGCCGACACAGGGTAAAAGCAGCTTCCAATGACAGCATGTTTGCGTCAGGCATGTAATTTTAGTGGAAGCTGTGGAATCTGGAAACTACTACTGGAATGGCGGGGAAACCAAATGAGATATTCCAGGAGATATTCGAGCGTCTGGCAGCTGCGTTCACTCGCTCCACGTTCACGCCCAGCACGCTGCTGCACTCCCCTCCAGAAGGGCGCGGCCCAGGAGAGCTGCACACAGGTGAGTGGCAGGTGTGGCCCAGTGGGAGCACTACAGGGGCCATTAACGGCCGGACTATAAAGGGGGCTCGCAGCGCAGACACCACCTGCATCACCTGTGGTTCCAGGCCCTGAATTCACCTGACTGCGGAACTGGCTGCAGTCAAGGGGCTCACAGCACCCTAGCCCTCTGCTTGCCCCCAATCCAGGCACCACCGCAGGATGCTCAGTCAGGGAGGAATGTCTCTGGGAGTTAAGCTCTCGTCCTTTCTGGCAGGTTTTGGGCACAACCAAAGTCTGAGGTAAATGTGAAGGAGCCAGAGTCTCTGCCCCAAGGCCAGGAATCGGCGTGACGCCCTCTGGAATGGGCGCGACGCCCTCCGGAATGGGGTCTGGAGGGCCCCCGCCAGCTCTCAGGGCCAGCTCTCACCTGAAAGCCGATGATCCGGCAGGTCACAATCCCCCAAGTGCCGACGCAGAAGCCAGGGCTCGTTCTCCGAGCAGACAGAGGAGCCCCACAGCCCGTGCAGCGCCCACCGACATCTTCCAAGGCATGCCACTGCCCTGGCAGGGGACGCAGACACGCAGCCCCCCAGAGGTCTCCCAAGTGGCTCAGGATGAACCTGCCACCTGAGCCAACAGCTGCACTCCCAACTCCCGCCAAGAGCACAGGACGCTGAGTTGAGGGTGCATGTGTGCGCAGCTCGAGCTAACAGCCACGTTAAAAACAGCCCGCGTGCCGAGGAGGGCAGTGCGCCAGGAAAACGTGCCTCGGACGCATGGCGGGTCACCAGTCGGCGATGCAAAACACAAAGTCATGCCATTCGCAGCCACGTGGAAGACATCAGTCAGAAGGCACCAGACGAACGCACATGGCCACTTACATGTGGCCTGCAGAGAAACAGAACAAGGGTCAGACCAAGCCGGCCAGCAGCAAATGCTACAAACGGGACGGCCGGCCTGAGGTGCCGCAGGGCAGGGGGCACAGCAGCCTGGGGCACCTGGAGGTCTCGCCGCGTCTGTGGCAACAGCAGCTGAGGGGCGACGCTACGCCTCTGAATCATAAACAGCGCTGTAGGTACCTCGACTTAAAAAGCAACTATTTGCTCCCATAACACCTCGTATCGGAACATGATTTCCATATAGTTCACTCTTTCAAAGTGCACTCTGGTGCTCCCATCACATTTGGCTCCTGCGACCACCAGCACCCTCTGAAATTACAGCGCTCAGCTGCCCGGCCCCGCCTCAGCGGCCAGCGTGCCTCCTGCAGCCGGCGCCCACTTTGCTCGGCCTCTGGTGCTGCCTTCTTCGCTGGGTGACTTTTCACGGCTCCTCCCATCTGTATCTGCTGTCGGTACTTCGTTTATTTTACAAGTCTTTTCAGAGCTCCACCCCAGTGGAGTTCTATTTCTAGAATCTACACCTGACAGTCAGAGACGCACCTACACCCACACACGTAACCGGCAACGTTACCCATGACGGGACAGCGCGGCCCCCGCCCGCACTGGACAGACGCGCAGGCGTGCGGGCTGGGCCGCTGCTTATCGTGACGGTGTTGGTGGACTAAGGGGGAAAGTAAATCGCGAAAATGGGGGCCTTCCTGGCGGCCTAGGGGTTAAGCTTCAGTGCTACCACTGCGACAGCCTGAGTTCGACCCCCGGCCAGGGAGTGATCCACAGGGCACAGCAGACCCCACCTGTCTTCCCACTGCCCCCCTCAGCTGTGTGTTTCAGTCAACATCCCCCCACACCTCTGGCCTGCACCCCAGATCCTCTACACAAAAATCTTTAAAAATTAAAAAAAAAAAAAGGATTAAAGAAGAAAAAAAAAAGCTCAAACAAGCCAATAGCCAACCGAGATCTTTTAGGTTTATTCATCGCCTTACTTTCCCTGAAAAGTCTTCCTGACAAATAATGTAAATTCTCTCGAACTTTCAAGAAACAGATAAAAAGATCAGCACAACACACAAAATCTACACGATTACTAGCTTTTATGGGGCTCATTTAATTCTGGGATCGAAACATAACAAAGGTTTCCTTCTACCCCAGAGGACAGCACACATGGAAGGGGAAATTCTAGATCCCAAATTAGGCTGCAAAATTCAACATTACCAAGAACAAGTCATCATTAGGAAATGTACAAGTAACCCAAACCAAACTGATGATCTAAATTAATGCCCAGAATATTCCAGTGAAATTCAACACCCACACCTATTATAAACTCTAAAAGGCACAAATCAAAAAATAATCCATTTATGTAGTCTTAAATGTCTCTCCACAGCTAGTAAGTAAACAATAAAATTAATGGAGAAAAAAATAAAAATATTCCAAGTAAAATGAAGAAAAAGACAAATCAGGAGAGTCTGACTAATTCAAGAAGCCGCAAAGCAAAACTGAGGGTAGTCAGTACATCCGCACAAAATAAGGAGAAGTTTCAGCAGAGGAAGGAAAATCCCACTCCCGCAAACCCACGGTGGAACAGATCAAGCCCAGCCTGAGCCTTCGCAAAGGCGCAGGGCCCGACCTCGGCCTGGCGATGACAGCACGCTGAGGGGGGGCGTCCCCACCCCTCGGCCGCACGCGCGCCCCGAGAGCCGGGCCTCCCGGGGCGCCCTGGGCAGGCGGTCCCCGGGGCCGCGGGGCCGCGCGGCCACGACGGCAGAGCTGGGCCCACACACGGCCAGGCAGAGGCCGCAGGTCCCCGGAGCCACACGGTCACCCCGACCCAGTGGGCGCGAGGGGAAGACTCAGGCACGCAGAAACAGGCAGCAGCCGGCGGCGCACCCGCAGCTTACGTGTTGAAAACTTCTGCAAAAAAATTCTATGTAGCTTTTAGGAACTGGATGGGCGAAAGGCACTTAAAAGTGAAAAAGAAAAGACATGTACAAAAAAACTTGACATTCCCTGTTTTGAGGTGGCTGACGTACGGTTTTAGTTTTAATTGCTGTAACCTAGTCCCTGTGTCTCCCAAATTTTTTACAATAATCTGTGCAAAACTGTTGGAGAAATGTAAGCTGCACGTTCAGACATTCACTTGGACTCCCTTGTTCTTGGACTTACACGTGCCAAGTTCTCAGTTACTCCCCAACCACCATAGTATTTTAGGCATTAAATTAAAAATCCACTAGGAATCTTTCCAACCAAGGAGAAAAGGATGAAAAAGTCAGAACCGCTCACACAGAGCTGCTGAAATGAAAAAGGAGAGCCTGATGAGAAGAATCCAGAAAGGTGTGGTTGCAATCTTACCGTAAAGCTGTTGTTGACGTTTTTGGTGCTGGATTCAGCCACGCTGGCGTCTGTCAGGTCCACCTCATCAAATATGATGGACTGCGGAGAGAGGGGTCGGGTCAGCGGGGCTGAGGGCCCCCCCGCAGCGGCCACAGAGACCGGGGAGCCCACCCCGCCTGCTCGAGCCGCAAGCACAGCCCACGCCCACTGGCTGGCGGGCGCCCTCGGGACGGCCCGCGGCAGACAGCGAGGGGTGGCCGCCCGGCCTGCTCGCCGCCGTCCGAGCAGTTTTAAATGTGCAGAATGTCCTGCCACAGAGACCACCGAGAGCTGAGCCTCCTGACCTTTCAGTTTTAGTTTTTCCAGCAAATTCTTTGAGCGGGGAAGGGCCTGACTAAATGATTCTCGGGCAAGAGAAACAGACCTAAATAGAAAGATCCAACCTCAAGAGAAAACGAAGGGGAGGGCAGGGGAACCAAGTCCTGCCCAGTCAGGCTCCAGAGGAAGGCCAGGCACGGGGCTGTACACCCCACGCGGCACCTGGCCTCCCGTGCACCCCTGCGCCCCCCATCCCGAGAGGACTCCATCGGGAACGGAGGGCGGGACACGAACCACGGGGAGGCTCGGCCACTGCTGCCACCTCCCCACCCGACGCAGAACTGGAAGAGCTACGGGCTGCGCTCAGAGCCCCTAACAACTGCCCTGTCCAATTTCAAATTTCAACTAACTCTTCCAAGGGCACCTCTCAAAATATGTGACTCATGCTCCGCGTCCGCTCACCCTCCAGGAGCCAGAGCGTCAGCAGTGACTACAACCCCACACCGGGGCCGGGCGGGCAGCCTGTCCGCACACCCGGCCGGCCCACACGAACACTCCGGCTACCCCACGGGCGTGGGTCTCACCAAGTCGTGCGGGTCAAACACCTACAACGTGTGGGTGCGATGACACCTCTGGAAAGCGCTTGTTACAAGGGCTCCCCTTCACAGCACGGGAGTGTAGCTGCGGCTTTCTGGACGCCAGCCGACCACCACAGGAGCATGAAACCGCCGTCCGCAGGCAGCATCGGCCTGGCGCCCGAGAGCGCCCGAGGCTGCGCTGGCAGCGGGGCCTGCGGGTGGGCGCGGGCCCCGCACACTCACCTTCGCGGTCTTGGCGTAGTACAGCGTGCGGCCCCGCAGCTTGAAGTACCTGCGCTTGGACCGCTGGAACGAGCTGCTCTGCTTGGTCAGCACCCCCTCCTTGATGACGGTCTGAAAGCACAGAAGCGGCTCGTGAGCGCGTCTCCACAGGCGCCCCAAGGCCGCTCCCCGGACCCCGACCACCGCCCCCGCAGGCCTCCGAGGGGCGAGGCGGGCCCAGGGCGGGGCCGCATGGGGTCCAGGGAAGCCTGGTCTGCCCAAGGCCACAGGGAGCAACGCAGAGACGAGCGCAGACTCCAACTGTGGCAGTCGGTATTTTTCAGCTATTCTTGGCCTCAACTCCGTGTTCTCTGGCCTCCTGCCATTTCTCAGGGTCCTGCTGCCAAAACTGCTGACCTATGGCGCTATGAAGTTCAGGCAGCTTCAGGCCTGTGCCCCCCTCCCTTCACCCCACCACGAAAAAAGCACCTGGCACAGTCACTAACTCCTCCCATCCCAGAAGCCAGACCCGCCCATCATGGGGTCCGGACAGCCTAGAAGGCGAGCATGGCTGTCCCAGACACCTGCTGAGACCAGGGCACCCACAGAGCAGGGGTCCCTCGTCCACTACACACCATGACCCACAAACACCATCAACTGACCCCGGCACACACTCACCGGGCCACCCCACCCGCCCATACCTCCGGTCCCGCCAAAGAGCAAGGTGGAACTGTTCAGGGTCAAGAGCGTGGTTGCAGAGAAGCCTTTCTTAATCACCTAATCGCTTGCAGCTCCGCTTTTACTGACTTTTGTAAAAGTATCTAAGAAGTACTTAGGCAGCTGTGGCCACTTAAGACGTAAGATGAAACCAGACACGGTAACCTCATGCCGCCCAAAGGCGTCAGAAGCTCGCCCCTCCATGAGCCCACCCCCGAGGCTGTGGAGAGGCTGAACCCCATTCTGAGCTGTCTTGCGAGGGAAGCTGGCTCAAAAGGACCCCCGATTCACCGCCAGCAGCACAACACTTGGGTGTCCTGAAGGGGCAGGCAGGCTGCTCCCAATCACAGGACACCCTCGGCAGGGTCAGCTGCAGGCACCAGCCAGTCACACCGAACCAGGTGGTCACTGCTGGCCAAAAGCGGCTGGCCAACCCCAGAGAGAATCAGCTGGAGAGAAAAACTACTGAGGCCCTCGCTCATCTCCCTTGGGAGATGCCTTCACCTCCACATAGGAAAAGGGTGCCCACCCCTCCCCCAGGTCACTCACGAATGCCAGGAGGAGAGAAGGGGGAGCGTGGCCCATGCAGCCCGGGCACAAGGCAGCCGGATGGTGAGCAGGTCCAAGACCATCATTGAAAAAGGCTCCAGCTTTTCTGAAGGGCAGGCTGGGAGCCCGCTGGGAGCAAGGCAGCTCCCAGACAGAGGAGAACCCCATGCTCTGACCCCACCACCGCAGGCACAGCCGTCTGCAGCCCCAGGACTGCCAGGCTGTCTTCCGATGCCCAGCCCCGGGAGGGCGGGGGCTTCCACTGTGGAGCCAGAAGCTGCCCTGCTCTGGGCAGGGCCTCTCCTCCTGCCCTCACAGGACCTCGGGGTGTGGCGCCCCTCCTCACCCCCACGCTTCCTTACCTCCGCAGGGGCAGGGCTGGCTTCCATCTCCTTCCTAAATGCAAACTAGGAAAGAAAAAGACAGCAAAGCCAACAAAGCCAGACCCAGAGAAGTTATTGTAAGTTTCTTTTAAAGGACAAATGAGAAAGTATTTTTCCTTGAATCTCCTGCTAAACATCTCACACATGAAAGGAAAGTAAAATTAAGGCGCCGTCAACCCCGCGCGCGGCACACACATTTTTCAGAAGCGGATGGCGCGGTGAGCTCGGGCTACCCAAGGAGAGCGGCGCTGCTATTTATAGAACAAGAGAGCACAGAAAAAGGCTGTGGGTCGGGGCGGAAAGGGCTGGGGAAGAGAGAGAGACCAGCGCTTCTCTGACGCTTTCTCCGAAACTGCTTCTCCTGACTCGGCTCGTGAATACGCAAACATGCTGAGAGTATTTCTGAACACTCAGTCCAAAGTGGTGGACTGAAGGTGGCCAAGAAAACAAGCCCTGGACAGGCTGCCGTTCTGCATCTGGCAGCCGGGGCCACAGGCACCCACAGGAAACGGCTGGGGGCAGGCTTGCCTGGCCAGGGCGCGCGCACCGGCGGCCAGGCCCGGACCAGCGCAGCGGGCTGGGGCAGGCGACCCCGAGGACTACGTGGGGCAGACCTCTGGGCGGGGGGGCCATCAGGGACAAGAAAGGCCAGGTGTGCGACACCGCGCGAGCCCCGGGGGCAGCAGGTAGGGAGTGGACACACTCCACCACTCCCAGAGGGGCCGGGGCTCCCACCGGGAAGTCCCCCAGGCCCCCGCTGCACTGAGACTGCGGGGTCAGGAATTTAGCCGACAAACTGGGGCCAGAGAGCAGACATCTGGGCAAGCAGGCGCACCCCTGCCCACAGGGCTGCGTGCAGGGGAGCCTGCACAGACGGGGGGCCCGTCCCTCCCCAGGCGGCGCTCATGCCAATCAAAGCACGCGATGGCGAGGGGTGGCCCACAGAGAGCCGGGCTGGATTTTTTAATGTGTGGGTCATTCAGCTCTTGGTGACAAGGGTGACATTGTGTGCAGCAAACCTCACTTCCTGCCCGTCACAGCAGACTGTCAGGCCCACTCGGGCCGTGGACACTCCATGGGCGCCCGGCCTCACTGGGCAGCCTGCTCACTCCCACCATCAGCCACGCTGTGAGGACCTCACACGCGTCCTAGGAGCAAGTGACAGCAGGGGCCTTGGGGGGCCCGAGGAGCTAGGAAGGGCCTAGGCAGCCAGGGGCCGGGGCTGCTGCTGCCCAGGGCCCTCTCCTCACGCCGCAGGCAGGGCCATCCCGGGGGGCCAGCAGATGGAAGGCGAAACCTGGAGACAGGACAGCATAGAAGTCGATGACCAGGAAAGGTTTCTCGAATGGGGTTAAAGCCATGAACAGACTCTGAAAGGGCCACCTACACTGCAAGTGAGAACTCTGACCCAGGGCAGTTCATGGAGGGAGGGAAGGAAGTGCGGCCGGTCTCGGCAGAGACACCAGCGCACTGTGCCAGGGCCCGCCGAGCGCCAGGGCCAGCATGCACATGCCAGGAACGCCACAAGATGGTAACAAAGACCAAGAAGCCCCAAAAAGAAAACTGGCAGAAGGCACGTTGGGAGTTGGGGCAATGTGGGGCGTGAGCGGCCGAGCCCTGGAACACCGCTGGGCAGAGAGCAGCCCGAGGGACACCCCCATGCCAGGGCGGCTCCCATGGTCGTTCAGCAGGCAGAGATGTGGGGAGATGAGAAGACATCATCCGTCAAGGGCAGTGTCGGGCCCCAGGCAGAGCGCTCGGGGCTGCTGTGTCCAGTGCAGGTGCGAGGGCTCCGCACTGACCCAGCCGCCGGGGGCGTGGGGGCTGCAGACGGGGCAGGCATTGGAGGGCAGGGCTGGGCGAGAGAAAAGAAGTCATGCTAGACGAAAACGCTCACTTCAGCCCGCTGTTAGTCCTGAAGGCTTTTCAGGCCCTCACAAAAATGCTACGTAACCCGGGGGCAGGCACCAGCACCCCAATCCAGAGTCAGAACAAGTGGGGAGTTAACAGGACACTGTGACCTGCGCCAGCCGCGAACTGTTCAGGGGCGAAGCCAGTCAAATCACCGCCTTAGGGCTGCAAGTCACTTGAACTTTTACACCTATTTGCCTTCTTAACAGAACAAACACTTGTGGCTTCTGAGACAGACACTAATCCATCAGGTGACAAATGAGAACTCAGGGTCTCTGAGAGCCTGAGCACGGCGCCAGGGCGGGAGTCCCGGCAGACCACGGGAGAAGTCAGACGTCCGCTCGCAAGGGCTCGGTTATGCAGACTGTAGTTCAAAACAGGAAGCAATCAAACCCTCATTCGTGCACCAAACACGGTGTGGACACACACCCTGGGCCTCGGGTCAGGCAGAGCATCCACAGGCACTCGGGGCCCCCAGGGAACTCGGGGGCCAGACTAAGTCACTCTCTCAAGGCCACACAGCTAGGCATGGAGAGCCAGGAATTCAAACTTTAGACCCAGAGCCAAGCCCAAACTATTTGTGGACAAAATGAAACCAAAATAAAAAGCTACTAATAACGGTGGTTTAATTCAGTTAGACAAAGGTAAATTCCTTGACCCGTTCAGAACACTCACAAATCCACCCTGGCTCAGAGTCGCCTGAAACTAGCCAGCTGCCAATGGCTACCAAGTCTGGCATGCGGGCGCCAGGGCACAGCTGGAGACACCTCCCAACTGGCAGGCCACGGCAGGCCCAGCTCTGGTCCCAGCAGCGTGAGAGTGCCCCACTCCCACAAATACACCCAAAGACACCAAATAGCAGAAAAAGGACAACCCACCTTTCCTTACCAACAGAGAGAACCCAGCCCACCACCACCCCCCTCCCCACCACCACCTTAGGCATCCCCACTTCGATGGACATTTGTAAAATGAAAAGCTACCAAGCCCCAGGACCCCCAAGTCATTAAAGGTTCCACTGAGGAAAGGGGAGGTGCCTCACTGCTGTCCCCACTAATATGAGGAAGGACTGACACGAGAAAGCCAGATGTGGCGCCACAGTGCAATGCCAAAGCTCTAACAAAGAGCTCTCACCTCTCGCGCCATGTCGGAGGCCCCGCATCGCGGTGTGGCCAGTCATCACAGCCCTGCCCCCACTGCAGGCCACACCATTCGGCCCCGCCGGAGGCAGCAGCACACGTCCTGCTGGGCTGGGGAAGTCGCTTTACTGATGCATGGACACACTACTCCCCAACTCCTGGGGAGGCTCAACTACCCCCCAACTCCTGGCAGTGCATGGGGAGCCACCGCCTGAAGGCCAGGAGGCAGAGAGTCAACCTGGCGCTGCTGGCACCCTGCAGCCACCTGAGGCAGGCCACCGGCCAGCTCTTGAGTGGTCGCCCTGGTTGCCGCCGCTGGCTCTGCCCCACCGAGTGCAGGCCCTACGGGGAAAGCCCCTTCCCCGAAACGTGACTCAGCCGAGGCGCTTCGGCGGCTCCTTCCTCTCTGACCTGTTCCCCCCAGCTATGGCGCGTCAGCAAAGCTGACAGCAGTTTCAGACGCACCAACACACTCTCCCTCACTCCCATCCAACTGGTCACCCGGCTGCCCAACTGACTCCCCTCCCTCAGCCCTGCCAGCCACTTGGTCTGAACCCCCACCCCCACCCCCACCCCAATCAGGGCTGAAGTTACCGCGTCTCTCAAGGGTGACCCAGACCACGCGCACCAAAGCCCCAGGGACACCCGTGACAAAGCAGACCACCCCGCGGGGACCCTGGGACAAGAAGTTGTGGCCACAATCTGGGTGGCACCCCCTCCCACCCCCACCCCTCCTCATCTGCAGCTGGCTCTGTCTCCGCTCCCACAAAGCAAAGCACCCCAGCAGGCTGGGAGGCACAGACAGCTGGGCCCAACCAACAGAGCACCAGAACCGGGACTGGAGGCAGGTCGGCGCCCTGGCCTCAGCAGGGCCCAGGAGCCCACC